TCCTGGCAGGGATAGCATGGCGCCAGGCATAGGAGGCGGTTGTTTACATTGCAGCTGGGCTCAGGAATCAGTGACTGGACAGGAAGTAAGGCCAGACTACAGGTACTCAAAGACCACCTCCAGTGAACACACTCCCTCCACCTGGCTCCACTTCCTAAAAGTTCTACAACCTTGCAAAACCTTGCCAGTAGCTGAGGACCAACTTTTCAAACATTAAAACTATGGGGCACAGACCACACTAAAACCACACTACCAAAAGAAAAGTGATGAAGTCAGGGAGCATCTGTATGATGGCCGTAAAATAAATGAAAAAGGACCTTTGGGGGCTGGTCGTTGCTGAGCTACATTGCTAAAATGTAATGAGTGAAGTGGGGTGGATAGTATAGTCAAATTTGTTTAAGAAAGGAAATATATATTGGCTATTGACAATATTCATCTTATGTTAAGGATTAAGACTTTTTCTTATTTTTCTTCCTTTGTTTTGCTTTGTTTCTGTTTGCTATTTCTTTCTCATTTTCTACTTGCTGTCTTCCTGTGGGTTATTCTGAGCATTTTTTAAGGATTGCTTGTTGGTCTGTTTGTAGTGTTATTACATAGTTTTCTTAGTAGTGTCGGGTGGGAGTCTTGAAATGCTCTATGGATATATTTGTATCAGTATTTTCTGATTTTATAAAGTGTGTAAACCTTACTGTCATCCAGGACCATCAAGTGTCATGTGGTGATATAATTTTTGATGCAGTAGTTTATGGGGGTGGAGAGGATAGTCTTATTTTACCCAGATTTTAACTTTCTCCATTGTTCTTTCTTCTTCATAATGACATACATTTTGTTATTTCCTACATTATAAAGAACTTCTTAAAATATTTTTTTATTTTATTTGTGTGTGTGTTTACACATATATGAACACACATATTAGTGCCATTTTCCAAGAGTAAATCTACTAGTGACAAATTCTTCTGAATGTCTTTTGTATGAGCATTTCTTAACTTCCTCTGGTAGCTGAAAGACATTTTTACAAGACGCTATAGTTTCAGTTCTTCAGCACTTGAAAATGATGTACCTGCTTCCTTCCATGATTCCATTGCTTCAGGCCTGTCACTCAGGTTGCTGTTTCCCAGCAGATAGTGTGGTGGGTTTTTTCTTGGTTTTAGTTTTTTAAAGTTTAAGGACGCTGTGCTTGGGTTAGATTTCTTTTGTTAGCCTACTTGGATTCACTTGTGTTCTTACAGCCAAATTTGAGGAGATTTCAGCCATTGGTTCTCCAAATACTCCTTCCGTCCATTCTTTCTCTTCTTTCCACCTAAGACTCTAATGCTGCACAGTAATCTTCTGTTACTGAGCCATAGTCCCTAAAATTGGGTTGTTTTCAATTTTTCTCTCCATTGTTCAAAGGGGTAAATTTTTCTGATCCGTCCTCTTCTCCAGTGATTCTGTTCCGAGTTATTCCACTTCTACTGAGCTCAGCCTGGTAGCATGGTTTCTGTTACTTCTCAGCTGTATATCTACTTGATTCTTTTGCTATGGGATTTTCTTCCAGTTATTTTAATTAGTTTTGTTTGCTTCATAATAATTTGTGGATTATTGTTGAGTTCTCTCCCCCACCCTTTATGGTTTTAATTTGAGTCCTCGGCAGACAGTTCTGGCACCTGTCTCCTGTCAGTGTGGGAGTCAACCTTTCTCTTTCATGCTGTGACTTTCTTAGTTCTTGTTATGATGGGTGATTTTAGTCATGTGTGAATATTTTGACTGTAACTTTGGGAGAATTTGGGTTTTATTTATTTTTTTATTATAACAAATAGTCACCTGCTTAGGTTTAGCATGCAGGCCTCAGTTTACTTTTGCAGGTGATTCCAATGAGAATCTGACTTTTAATGCCTTTATGGTGCTATTTAGATTTACTAGTTCGTCTCCTATAAGCTTTTCTTCTTCTACATTTAAATATCTTTAATTTTTATTTTATGTGTATAGGTGTTTTGCATGCATGTATGTCTGTGTACCAGATGTACGACTGGTGTGGGCACTGAGGCCTGAAGAGGGCATTGGAGCCCCTGGAACTAGAGTTACAGCCAGTTGTGAGCTCCCATGTGGATGCTGGAAATCAAACTTAGGTCTTCTGAAGGATCAGGCAGTCAGGGCTCTTAACTGCTGAGCCAACTCCCTACCCTCCTGTGTGACTTCCAGCATTCTTTATAGCGCCTGGGAATCTGAGAAGGACTTCTGATTGGCTGAGTGCTTTTATGTGCAAGAAGGAAATCTCCAACCTCCTCCAAAAGACGTGCACTTCCAGGAGTAGATGGCTACTGTAGAAGCCCTCTTTCCAGACTCCTCTGTCAGATGGAGCCTGAATGAAAGAGGAGAGTCTCAGGCTACAGAACTTGAAAATGTTTCCCCTGTCCTTATTGATAACAAGACTTCTAATTGACAAACTTTGCAGAGATTGTCTAGGGTTATTGGTGATGTGTTGTTAAGATGGGGAAAGATTAAGGTAACCTGGATGTATTCTGATGGAAGAACAGGTGAGAATTGAGAAAGCACCTGTTTTGGTTTATTTTCAGATGGGTGATGAGTGGAAGAGTCATAAGATGCTCTGTGGCTCTTCTTTTGGTCTTGGGGTCACTAGCCTATTCAACCTATCTTCTGGTATCAGAGTTCTCTTTAGTTGCCTCTCTATCATTCTCAAAAAATTTCAACCAAGTGTACCAGGAAGCACTATTCTATCTTGCTCAGTCTGGAAGTTATATGTGTTCATATAGGCATGAGCTTTCTTTACAAAGGTAGGCAAGGAATTAATAATATTATTTCCCCTAAGGAGATGACTTGGATCGTGTATGTTTCATTTTAACAAAATGAACATATCTAATATCTATTCAAAAGTTAGCATAAAGATAAAAGAAGAAACTTTCCTTTTTTTTAAGAGAACAATCAAAAATCCTAACAGAGGTCAAACAGCTATGGATCAACGTTGGTATTTTATTACATCTTACTGGCTTTAACCTCACTATGTTGTCACTGTTTCACTGCAGATCTCTGAATATAGCAATAATATTCTCAGTGGATTTGCAGCCTGCTCCTGCATTTTGAAAAGCTTCCAGAATTCAAATGCCTAATTTAGATTGAAGTAGATGCTCTGGGCAGCATGCTAGTATCCTAATCAGCTGAAAAATAATATTTGTATGACATTAAAACAAAATTAATGGCAAGACACTGATTACATGAAAAGATTTTATGTTGTGATTATTAAACTTGCAAGCAGCTCGGCATAATTAATGCCTTAATTAGGATATGACCTGAAATCTCAGCTTCCAAAATTAATAAAGGCAATTAAAAGTCTTTTTGTAAATTGAGCTTTAAGAATGGCAAGGAAGTTTGATACAGCTTTTTTACTCCTCATTTTGGAGGACATTTTTGTAGTTACTAAGCCTAAAATGCATCTAATTGCTCTTGGATTCCATATCCAAGGTCCTCACAACAGTAGTCTGGAGCCTTAAGGGAAGTGGTCCAAGTAGGTCATGCATCAGTTGTGGTCTGGGTAGCTAACTCTGAGGCATAGTTCTGAAACTGTGGTGCCAAACCGAATAGTAAAGATGCCTCTGTCCCCAGCACTCCTCTTATGCCTCTTCCAGGTGAGACATGAATTAGAAGATATATATTGATGCTACTCAGCCTCCACCATTTAAAAAAAGCTGGGTTTAAATGGCAATCTGCAGGATTGTCTCTTGAATAAGTTTCTTGAGACCACATCAGATCCCATAGACTATCACATGGTGACGTTCAAGGCCAAAGACCTCATTATTGGTAAAACTGAAGAAGTCAGTAAATATTAGTGGGCTAGTGATTTGACGAAACTGACTCTGGAATCCTGCCTCATCCCTTATACCAAAATAAACACTGAAAGGATCAAAGGTGCAATGTCAAAGCGAAATCATAAATGTATTAAGAGAAGAAAGGAGCTAACAGTTTTATAGTATTGTTACTGAGAAAGGCTTTTTAGCCAAAATAAGTATGACAAAGTTGTAACAGAAGTTACTAACAATTTGTCTATTTCAAATCTTTATGATTCCATCCATACATTTAAAAAAATCTTAAAGTTAAAAAAGTTCAAGACAGAACTAAAAAGATATTAATTAAAATTATCATGTTTTGATTCATTTTGTCTTATGAAAGTACAGCTTTATTCTTCTTTTAGGAAACAATTGGAAATAGATACTGTGATTTATGTACAGGATACTATGCACAGAGAGAAACTAAAATAGCTTCCATATTAAATAATAGCTTGTAAAATGACTAGGTAAGTTGAGGATAACCATAGGCTGTAAGCATGAAAACAGGATATTTAATAACATCAAGATGTTTTCACTGCAGGAGATAGGAGAAAGAAAAATGGGTGAAAATTGAAGACAAATTCAATTTAACCTTTCAGTATCTTATCTACACAGGAAAGAATGAAAAAAACAATTTCTCTGTGAGAATCATTGTAATGTAAAATTAAAGGTGAATATTATCTTCATTTTTAATCGTTTAAAATTGGCAGAGTATTTTATACATTTTAAGTTTTAAGTAAAATATTTCAGTTTTTACCTACAGTAACTATTAGAAGCAAGTCAGCTGTAAAAAGGACAAAGGCCTCAACAGTGTAATTAAGAGTATAACATTGGTGACAAACCTTTCTACCAGATCTAGTGATGGCATGTCACATGGGTTAAAGGTCAGCTACTGATCTGCTTGGGTTTCCTTCCCCCTTCTGCCTTAACGACTCCCTCTTCTCAGTCTAGAGTATGAAATTTTCTTTATTAGGGTGGGCATCGCACAGTAATTCTTTCAAAAATCACTGCTATGCTTATCTATGCTGAACTGTTGAAACTACACAATATCCATGTGCCCAAACTTCAGATCACCTGGTCTTGGCAAGAAGCTTATGTCTTTAATGTGGTACCACTTGCTGGTCCCCAGAAACCACCAAGAGTAGTGCATGAATTGTCCCCACTGAACTTCCATTGTACCTGTAGGTTTTCTTAATTTCTTCACATGATGCTCCCTTATGCAGACCCAGTATTTCATATAGAGTTTCTCCTGAGGTTGAAATAGTACGCTGTCTTTGGTTGGGTATGTTACACGCCATTTCTCAATCTGCAAAACCAAAAAGGAAAAAAAAGAGCCATGAAGATTATGCACTGTGATTGGATCCTGCCCCCTTAAAGGGAAGAAAGTGTATTTTTTTAACACTTGGTAAAAAGACAATCAGAAGTGCCTTTGTGTGCTAGGTACAATATGAGGAGAAGACAATGGTCTCCAGTCAAAGGTCATAGGAAGCCACATCAATGGAACAAAGCTTTATAAGTTATTTCAGAAGTGTTGAAAATCTACTCTCATAAACTAGAAATATAAGTGTTTTGTTTGTGTAAAATTTGTGTGTCTTCTTTTGTATATTTTCCAAATTTAGCTAGCCATGGAAAGAATCATCTATGGTATTCCATTTCAACTGACTGATGAGAAGGATCAATAGGTAGAGGTGCTTGCCAGCAAGCCCGATGACCTGGGCTTAACTTAAAGGATCTGCATGGGAAATGGAGAGAACTCATTCCAACAAGTTGTGCTCTGACCACCACACATGCACACATACACATGTTCTTGTGCACACACGAACACTACTAAATAAATAAATAAATAAATAAATGGATAAATAAATAAATAAATAAATAAATGTTAAAAAGAAAATACTAGATTCTAAAACAAAGAGATAAAGAGACTTCAAAGAGGTGATGCTAGGACAACTGAAAGGTATGAGGCACAGAAGAGTGATTCATCAAAAAGCACCCTCCCACACAGCTCCAGTACAGCAGCTCTGCAGTGTGGAGCAGGGGACGCAGAAACTTCATTGAAAAGGCAAGCCCATGGCAGTTCAGTGTCCAAGTGGGTTACATAGTAATGGGAAGAGGGACTGCCTCTGCCATAATCTGATTGGCCTGCTCGTTGATCACCTCCCCCTGAGGGGGGAGCAGCCTTACCAGGCCACAGTAGAGGACAATGCAGCCACTTTTGATGAGAATTGATAGACTAAGATCAGAAAGGAGAGGAGAACCTCCCCTATCAGTGGACTTGGGGAGTGGCATGCATGCAGAAAGGGTGGGATCGGGAGGGGAGGAGGGAGGGGCTTATCGGGGGATACAAAATGAATAAAGTGTAATTAATAAAAAATTTTAAAAAAAGCTGGATGAAAAAAAAAAGAAAAAAGAAAAGGCAAGCCTGGTGGCGCTAATGAAAAGAGGTTGACAAAAAAAAAAAAAAAAGAAAAGAAAAGAAAAGAAAAGAGGTTGACAGCCCTCCCCGCAGCCACGCCCACAATTCTTACAAAATCCAAAGACAGCTGCAGGTTTCTGTGAGACTCCTCCAAGAGGCCGAGTCAGCAGTCCAGAGGAATTGTATTTCACATGCCTCCCTTGGCTCAGAGCTCTATGGTTAGGTACAGTCCTGAAGGGACCTAATCATTGAGCTACTCTGAGAGTCTGAAAACAGGGATAATCGTAAGTGGGACAGTCTAGAGTCAACCATACAGCCCCAACAAAGACAGATCAAGGAGGCAGTTGCAGAAAGCAGAAAGGCCAAACCCTGAGAAGCAGGCCAGGTGGGGAGGTACACAAGGGAATACTGTGGCATCAACACTGTCTAGGAGCCAGCTTCATCATCTGAGAACTTTGGAGTTTGATAAGCACAAGCCTGAAGTCATAGGTCAACCCCTAGAGGTAGACCAACCTGTTTGTCATGAGGTTCACTGGTGTACAAACTGAGAACTCTCAAACCCCAGGGGACTGCCAGACATCTGCAGCCACCTCTCTCTACCTGGGATTTAGCACTTGGTTGCAGGTTTTGAAGGTATGGAGACAGGGCCATCTGTATAGGTCTCAGTGCTATGTTTGCTTTCCCCACCACCAGTACACTTGGGGGACATTCTGTCTAGATTATGAGCCACACAAGAGAGTACAAACAGGTATGTTTGGGAAGTCGTGAGAACCTGGCCAGGTTAACGTGCACAGTTAATGTGGCTAGCAGAATCTCTTGGTGCACAAGGAAGGAAAGACACTAACATGAACACCTGACAGCAGTGTAGGCTCAGCACCAGCATAAACCATACAACAAACAGAGTGCACACATCCAGCTGGCCATCCCTTCCTTGCATCTACCCAGCAGAATCTTAGATCGTAGTGTAGGAGAAGCTAAAATATTTTTAAAAACTAAAGGCATAGACAATTTAATGAAATCACAGAAAATTCCCTTAATATAGCAAAAGAAATGAGAATCAAACAATCTCTCCATCGATTTTTTGTTGTTGTTGTTGTTGTTTTGAGACAGGTTTCTCTGTGTAGCCTTGGCTGTCCAGGACTCACTTTGTAGACCAGGTTGGCCTTGAACTAATAGAGATCTGCCTGCCTCTGCTGAATGCTGGGATTACAGGTGTGTGCCACCACGCCCAGCTGATGGATGTTTTTTTAAGTGACCCATTGGTCATTCAAGAATATGTTGTACAACCTCTAAGAACTTGTATAGTATCTGTGATTTCTCTTGTTATTGTTCTCTAGTTTTATTCCATTTTGATCTGATACATGAGATCACTTCAATTCTAATTTGGAAGAAATTTCATGGGCTCCTGAGAAAAAGCCATCCTACAGCTGTTAGATGGCACACTGTGTAAATGTTTGTTGAGTTAATCCATGTTGCAGATGAACTCCAGAGTTGCTTTGTGGATTTTGGTCGGATGGTGTACCTATTGGTGAGAGTAAAGTGTTGAAGTTACCACTTGTTATTGTATCAGAACCCAGCTGTTCTTCTGTGCCTCTTAGTATTTCTCAAAACTGGGAGCCCCACTGTTTGGTGCAAATATACTTACACTTGTTATATTTTCTTTTCAAGTGTATAAACTGCTAAGCTTCTGGGGCACTTTGGTTTCTCTGTCACAAAGCACAGAACACCTGATCCCAGATTTTCCGGGTATGCGTGTCTGTCTTTTCTTGATTTTCTTACTGCCCAGTCAAGCCAAGTCATTGAAGCAGTGCAAGGATGACGCAGGCATCAAAAAGCAGTATGATATGATATGTGGCAGTGGCAGCAAGCACAGTTGAAGCAGAACTCCCAGTTCTCCTCCAAGGAGGAGAACCATCCCTGAACCACCTCAGACAAAGTCAAGAGCTACAAATTGTTTGTCAACTAGTCACAGTGATCCTAGACTTCACCAGCATATAGTGACAGCTGGTGGTCCCAAGGAATTCAATAAAAACAACAACAATCTAATTTCAAAATGTTTCTCAGAGAGGAAGAGTAACATGATTCTGCAAAAATCCTACTTTTCCAAAGGCCCTGAGGTGAAAAGCAGCCTACCCAAGAGCAAGACTACACAGGGTCAAAAGCTTGTCATGTAACCTGGTACATTTCCTTCTCTCATGAAGTGGAGCCCCTGAATGCCAGAGGGACATAAGTTACAGAGCCCCACACAAGAAAGGCAGGAGAATAAATCCTGAGTTTCCACCACAGCCCCAAACCATACATGTCCTGTGGCAGCCACTGCACTTGGTGAAAGACTGTTCTGCCTCTCTTCTCTTCCAGCGGCTCAGTTATTATTCCAATCCTCCATTTCGTTCCGTTTGCAGCCTCACAGCCCTGCTGGCATTCACAATAGAAGGGGGAACTGCCACAGTAGTGATGGCCTAGGGACCTCCCTGGGACCTCCTCTGGCAACCACCACACGTATTATTCTGGCTTCAGATGCTTCTAACTAGTCAGCTTCTCTACAAACCACTATGTACCTGCTGTGAAAAAGAATCAAGAGGATTGGAGAGCAGGGATTTCTGTTTGACCTAGACAACCTTCCCACTGTTGGTTTGTCTGGGACCCAAGATCTTGTTGGGTAGCAGGATTCTGAAAGTCCCTGCTAACACAATGAAGCATCAGCAAATACCACTTCTGGGTGTATGTCAAGAGGAAATGAAATCAGTGTGCTGATTTCATGGGTTGAGAAGAGGTCTGCATTCTCAGCTTATTGCAGCACGGCCCACAGCATGAAGATAAATAAAATCAATTTACACACACACTTGCTGTAGTGTGAACTGTGGTGTGCATACCCACACCATGGAGTAGTACTTCTGTACTTTGAAAAGGCAGAAAAAATGCCATTTGTGAAGTCACGGGTGAACCTGGAAGCCATTATGTTAAATAAATGAAACCAGTCAGAAAAACAAAAAAACATGTGACCTCGTTTATATGTAGTATTAAGAAATTAATGCCCCCAAACTTGGACCCAAAATATTAAAGAGTAGAATGCTTGTTACAAGGACCTGGAAGAGAGAAGCTGGAGAGATTTTGGTCAAAGGATATAAGGTTTCAGTAAGACAGGAAGAAGGTGTTTAGAAGACCTAACCTATAGCTCGGTACCTATAGGAAATAATGCCCAGGGTAGAATTTAGGCTCATTCTTACCACAAAAAGAATCGATAAGCATGAGGCAATAGATATGTTAATTGCCTTGATTTAGATATTCTACAACATATACACAATTCAAAACATCTTGTTGCACATAATAAATATATAGCATTTTGCCAAGTTAAATAATTGGTTAATGCATAAACATAGTAATCCAGATCTAGAGTCTGGAATTAAGGGTCATCTAGGCCTATTATTGATTACACTTTGGGTCCTTACCAGACAGGGCCATTCAACCTTTTCCTAGATTGAACCAATAGATACCAGTTCACTCATTTACATACTCCCCCACCTTCTTCTGAGCATGTTTTAGTTAGGTTTTGGTTGATCACTATCAACTAAGACTCCTGTTATTGCTGTGAGGAGACACCATAACCACGGCCACTTAAAAATTTTTTTCCACAATGTATCCATTATGTATCCCGATTGAAGACCCCTTCAACTCCCCCAGTTCCACCCTCCCTCTCTCTTCCCCTCATTCCCTTCCCCTACTCCACTGAAAGGGGGAGTTCTCCACTATTCCATCTGCCCATAGCTTATCAAGTCTCATCAGGACTGCCGGGATCCTCTTCCTCCGTGGCCTGGCAAGGCTGCCTCACCAGCAACAAGTGATCCGAGAGCAGTCAACTGAGTTCATGATAGAGGCAGCCCC